ACTGTATTAAACTTGAATCCATGACTATATGGATTATTCTAGCCTCCACTCCTTTCATCTTTTTGTAAATCTTGACACCAATAGTGGGAAACCTGTCTCCTACCACTGGCCATCCATTTACAAAACTGTTCCAATTCTAGTGCGTATGTATGTTAGTATCAGAACTGTTAGCTTAGACACCTATAGTAAATCTCTATATCAACTAGATTACAGTTCTTTTGTTTTTAGCTTTAGATTCCATTCATTTCCAAAGTTACTTATGTCCACACCTTTCCCAACCCCCTCAGTGAGGCTATTTCTTGAATTTGTAATATAAATTCTTTTCTCCTAGTTTTCATTCATTCCTGAGATCCCCCAACATTTTTTTTTAATGTTCCTTAAACTAAGATTTTTCTGTGCTGTAAAGTCCCATGAGTTTTGACAAATGCATAGTGTCATTTACACACCATCAAGGGATTATTATTATTATTATTATAGAATAGAATTTCTCCGCTGGCAGGATTAACACCTCTGCTGTGCTTCACTTATTCAAACCTCCTTACTCCCCCTGTAACCCTGGCAACCATTGATCTTAACATCATTATAGTTTTGCCTTTTCCAGAATGTCTTATAATGGAAATCATACAGTATGTGCTCTTGAATTCTTTTCAGCTTGCTTCTTAAAGTTAACAATGGGCATTTAAGATTTCTCCATGTCTTTCCGTGGTTTGATATCTTATCAATTTTATTGTTGAATTATGGTCCATAGTATGGATGTACAACTTGTTTATCCTTTTACCTATTGAAGGGCATCTTAGTTATTTCCAGTTTTCGGCATTTATGACTAAAGTGGCTAAAAATATCCATAGATAGGCTTTTGTGTAGACATAACTTCTCGAATCACTTGGTTAAATATTCATGAGTAGAGAAGATATATCATACGATGAGACTATGTATAGCTAAATAAGAAACTGCCAACTGTCTTCCAAACTGGCTGTACCACCATTTTGTTCTCACCCTGGCAGATCAGATGGTAATGTACTCACTGGACTTTTGTTTGACTGAAATTGTCTTAATTTCTCCTTCACTTCTGAGGATCATTTCACTGGATATAAAATACAACTCATCATGTATTTCACTCCCCTCTCTTCTTGTTTGCATGACTTCTCATGAGAAGTTTACTGTAATTTTTACATATTTTCGTCATGGTGGATTTTGTTTTCTAGCATTTCCCTTTGATTCTTTCTGATAGGTTTCTCTTTTTGCTCACATAATGCACTTGTTGTATATATTTTCCAACAGGGTTCTTAACATAGTAATCATTTTATAAATTTTAAATTATTTAAAATTTCATCACAATTTCAATATCTATAGCATATCAGAATCTGTTTCTGATATTTACTATTCCTTCAAATTATTTTTGTCCTCTCTTTTGATATTGCCTTAAATTTTGTTGCAAGATAGACATGATATAATAGATAACAAGAAATGAGATAAATAGACTTTTAGTCAAAGGCTTTATATTTATTTGGCAAGGAGTTGGCCTATGTTTAATGTTTGCTGTAGATACAGACACCAGAGGCCTCAAACTCCTCTTATTTCTGTTTTTCTCTCCTCTGTCGACTTAGGGCTTCCTTAAGTACTCCTGCATCTGCATTTGACTACTTTTCACCTCTGTTAATTCACTAATTCTAGACTTCTATTGATGAGGTGACAAGAGGAGAGAAGGGAAAATATTCTACAGTCTTATGATACAATTTCCATATCCACTGAGCTTTAGTCTATAAGCTGTGACCGGTGTTTTTTTAACATTTCTTTTGCTTGTTAGGTGATACATAAAATACTTGAGAGCACTGGCGTGGGAGAATATCTGACCTTCGAGTCCTATAATACACTGATAAAGTCCTTTTCCTTGGAGAGTCTGTCACTTTATGGAGAATGCTCTGGTAGCATTTCACAGGAATTACTCTTCCTCTTCCCCCTTCTAGGGCCATGCTGACATTTTTATTGGTTTTTCACTGTGAGACCCTGGTAAGATACCAGAAGGTAAAACCCACAGAAGTCTGAGGGTGCTCCTTTAAGACTGCCTCCAAAATTTTTCACTCTCCACTTATTCCACAATTATTTTCTGGCATTTTGTCAAAATCACATGTAAATGTTCTTCCCAGTCTAGGTTCCAAAGGATTTTTCTCCAGGTAACCAGTTCTAAGCTGTGACTTTCTAGATGCTTTTTTCTACAGATTTGGGGATGGTAGTTTTCCTTGTTACCTCAATTCTGTCAGACTCTGAGAAATTCACTGATTTTCAGCTTATTCAGCTTTTTCTTATAAGAATGGATGTAAAAATTTCTGAACTCTTTATATACAGGACATGAAACTGGAGTTCAGAGAATCCAATAATTTCTTAAAGGGTTTACTTATTTTTTTTAAAAAATAAGCACTTAAATCTGAAAGAATAAAATTCATTGAGATTACATGCAATTTCTACACTGGACAATTTAAAACTCTATTACTCTTCTAAATTGAGTATCCCATGTCATGGACTATCATGTCATTCATTTAACACTGTTGAGGAAGTTTCTATTGTTGAAACTATCATGTGATTTCTGAATATGCTTAGTAAACGTTATATATTTTGTTCCAGGGAAAGAGGTGCATGCACATGCATGTAGTTAGCTCTTTGTTTTATGTAGACACAAAAGAATTTAGGACAGTGTGATATAACAGTGTATAATTAACTCACCAGTATTTTCCAGCATTTTGAGTAAACTTAAAAAAGGAAGAAATTTCTCTTTTCAGGTTCTAGTCAATGGGTATCGAGTCTAACAATTTTGTGTTCTAGACCATCATTCAGGTGTTCATATGGTGAACTGAAGATTAAGTAAGGTTAAAGTAAGGTCTCAAGAATTTAAGGGACTTTATTTTGCAATCACTCCTTAGAACCAAATAAAAATGAAAAGTGAAAATGTATTGATATATCACAGAATATTTTAATGTACCTGAAAACACAAATATAAAAAGATCAATCAGAAATAAATGGTAAAAATAAAAACCTGACCCTCAAAATTTATTCACAATTAAGTGAAAAAGGGGAAGGAGGTAACTGAACATATGAAAAATAAATAAACAAAACCCTGACATTTACTGATTACTTATGAGCTATAATTTGTTTATAGTTAAATTTTGTTTGAAAGGTATTGAAGGAAAAAAACTCTCCAAACATAAAATTGCAATACTATATATGTAAAAATAGAAAACAGGAATGGACATAAATGTAATATTTGAAGGAAAATGAAGAAACCAGATCTCAATATTGAAACTATGAAAGTAAGTACTAAAGTTTCTTTTCAAGTATATAATATACATTATAAAGAGTTGAATAAAATTAGCAGTCTCTCCTCAAATAAATGAGTTTATTTTGCCAGTTTTCATTTTAGTTAAGGTATACATGATTATTTACTCAGGCAAACTATTCTTTTATATGTTATAATTAAAATTCCTTTTCAAATGATAATGAAATATTTCTTTCTACTTAAAAAAAAGATGTTTAGTCTTTTATTACTGAAGATTTACTTAATTATATCCAAATATAAACATTCAATACTGGGAGGTTATTATTAAGGTACTAACTTACTAATGCTGAGAAGTTGGTACACTGTTATTTACAGAATAAATGATGACCTTTACACATTATCATTGGCATTTTAAAATAGAGTCTTATTTTTACACATATAGAGAACTAAAGTTATACATAGCAAATGTGCCTTTGACACAGAGTTCATCATAATAAGAGAAAGTCTGCAGCAATGCATCTAGAATCTTTGCCTGAATTAAACAGAATAAAATACTATTTTGTGACATATTAAAAAAACACATCTATTGATAGAGGCAGCATATTGTTTTAGATTCTTACAACATTTTTGAGCAAGGGCATAATAATACAATAATTAAGACATTTGTGACTGATAACATGGTTTGTAAAGCAAGAAGCAAGCAAATTCGTGTGTGAGACAAATCAATAATACTAAGTAGAGAGTACCTTTTTCAGGTAAATAACCAACAACCAACTACTTCACCTGCCTTTACAATGTAAAGATTGCACTGTTTTTTTTAAGAAAGTTAAATATTAATTTAATGAGAAGATACACTTTTATTGGACAATGCAATGTTTAAAAGTATGTCCTGAGGCCAGACGTTTTTCAAATATAGACTCATGAACATATCACTAAATGTATTTCTGCTTTAATGTCCTTTTTTGTAAAATGGTGATCATCATAATGATGAGAATAGCAATTATATAACTCTTATTGTATATATTACATATTTTGACTTATATGATTCTCTCCACAACTATTATTTCCAATATACAGATGAAGAAATGAAGTTACATATCTGATCAAAGATCACAGAGTCAATTATAAAAAATAGGAATTCCTCTCTCAATAAATATGATGATGTTTCAAATTTTCATGTATGGATTTGCAGAATATGGTCCGAAAAGTCAGAAGAGCCTGATTAAATGACGTGAGGGCAAAACAAAACCAACCACTGTGGGCTGTCTGGATAACCAACCTGGTGAGGAATGCCTTATTGGAAGTGTCATGGGTCAGAAGCATGAACTTCTGTAAGGAAACAGAATGAAAGGTTCAGGGCTATCTGGGTGCTAAAAGACTTGGAAAGAGGGGAATCTCTCCCCAAAACTCCTGAAATATTAGTAAGGTGCCTTGAGCTTAACTTCTATTTTTTTAGGTAAATGAATATTCTCAAATGGGTTTACTGGCTAGCATTAACATTAAAGCACACATTTCAGAACTGAAAACATGGAACTTGAGGTAAAGAATTATCTGAAATTGTAGGAAGACATGGGAATCATAAGATATGCAATTGGGTGTTTGAGACAATATTTTTCTAATATTCTGAAACCAACATTTGTTTTTTTTTTTTTTTAAGATTTGTTTTTTTATTTGAGAGAGTGGCGGGGGCGGGGCACAGAGGGAGAGACAGTATTAGACTCTGCGCTGAGCCCAGAGCCTGACACGGGGCTGGATTTCAGGACCCTGAATCACCATCTGAGCTGAAAGTAAGAGTTGGGCGCTTAACCAGCTGTGATTGGTGAATTGATTGGTGAATTTTGTCAATTTACATCTAAAGTAAGTATTGATAAGTATGTAGTTACTGCCATTTTGTTAATTGTTTTCTGGCTGTTTTTGTAATTTTTTTCTGTTCCTTTCCTCTTCTCTTTCTTCCTTTATGGTTGGAAGACTTTCTTTAGTGACATGCTTATATTCCTTTAGAAAGCATTTTTAATTGGTCTAGGAAGAAGTGAATAGATATTTAGAGGACTAAGACTAAAAGGAAGGAAAATATTCTCTTTATTTCTTTTGGGGTTAATGTAGAGCATGAAATCAGCCATAATACCTGGTTTTCTAAAATGTAACACAGAGGTCGCTGGGGGCAAGGGAGGGTTTTGGAAAAGGGCATGGGCCTTTGGAATGCCAAGGCCTGCGTGACCACTCTGGCTAGGAATGCCAGAAGGAGTTGCCTTCCTGAAGCTTTCTCAGCCCAAACAGCCACCCAGTGATCTAACAGAGGTATGCATTGTCCCTTAGGCTATGTTTAGCAGAACTCGTAGAACATGCATATTAGTATATCCTATCTTTCTGGTAAACAGATCCTCCTAGTTTTAGTAAGACCCCTGTCACACATCACGTGCTTGAGAAATAGCGATAAGGATTTGTGATTATCCTGAAGGACCAATAAAAGTGGGAGCAAAGAAGAGCAAAGGGTCTTTGTCTCTGAGCGTTGACCCCCTTGCCTTATCTCTTTCATAGCAAGGTTTGGACTAATCTTTCATCCGTTGGTACAGGGATGGCTGGCCATTCCTGGCAATTTCTTCTCTTTACTCTCTTTATTTTTTCTCCAAAACCTCAACTTGCCTAGTTTTTACTAAAAGTATATTATGATATTTAACTTCTTTCCATGAAGGAATAGCAATAATGGTCAAGAGTTAAAATGAATAATTGACAATGGAAAAGGCTGAAGATCATGTTTTAGGAAACTCTATAGAAAGAACTATGTTTTTGAGATGGTGGGGAGGAAACAATTCTCAGACCATAGAGCATTTTTATATTCTCTTTTTCTGTCACACTATTTTCCCTTAAATTCAATTAATGCTTTTAATTATGGGAATTATTATAGAAATATTTTATAGCTGAATTTTTGATATATATGTATATCTAATATATACATATTTTAATATATAGTATATATTAGTAATTCTAAAAAAAAAGGAGAGCTATTTTTCTGAAAGGGATATAGTGGCAAAGCCTGAGTTCATTCTCTTCTTCTACCTTCCTCACTAAAGATGACTTCTGATTTGGTAGAAACTTAGAGCTCTGTTAATTATAGTTGAATATGACTGTTTGGGATAATAGGGATGGTCAATAAACTAATTAAAGGCTTGTTCCTATGGCTCAAAGACAGTTGAATTTCAGGGTTAATGTAAAAAGTTAAATGTTTTTTTATGATTCTAATATTTATAGTAACATATTCCACTGGTCTCTTTTATGCATAATTGTATGTGTTACACACTTTTACAAATTGATAATCATGTCAAAATTTGTAAAAGTAACTGTCCGCATAAGAAGGATAGCCCATAACTTTTTTTTTATAGCACTTAAAATGTTGGACCATGTTGTCACTCTCCTTACTCATCCCATAAGACACACATACACCAACAGACAGAACAGATAAAGATAGAGCTTTTCCAAATTCTACATTTCCAGCTCACTTCTCAATAAAAAAAAAAGCCCTGAAGTTTTTATGTCAGAAAAAAATCAAACTCAACTGAAAAGGTAAGAGATATAAAATATCATTCTATAGGACCACAAGAAATACATCACCATGCTTCTAACAGAGGATTGTAAAGTGCCTAAAGAGCAAAACCTACAATTAAATTTCTAGTGCTTAAGAATTCCTCGGTGGATTTAGGAAATTACTTTTTCATTGTCTGGAGAGCCATTTGGAATACATTATATGGATACTCCCTAGATGAGGCTGACAGCTTTAACATTCTGCAAAGGTACTAATTGATATGTTAAGTTTCCATATATGAATGAATATAAATAGAATCCTTGTCAAAAATTTAGTATAATTAAAACTATATTATATTAAAAGATAACTGGATAATATTAAAAATGCTGTAGGTTGACTAAATCTAATTTACATTAAAAGATAAGAATAGGGCGCCTGGGTGGCTCAGATGGGTGAGCGTCTGCCTTCGGCTCAGGTCATGATCCCAGGGTCCTGGGATCGAGTCCCGCATCAGGCTCCCTGCTCCTTGGGAGCCTGCTTCTCCCTCTGCCTCTTTCTCTCTCTCTCTGTCTCTCATGAATAAATAAATAAAAAGTTAAAAAAAAAAAGATAAGTATAAAATTTTAACAATAATTTATTTTACATAAATCAGGAAAATGAAAAATTAGGCATTTTTTTCAGTGAAAACTCATCATGAATTCATAAAAAATTTTTGCATAACAAAAATGGAAAATGTTTATTGTAATTATGCATGGAATGGTATTTTCTTTTTTTTAACTTTTTTTTTAACATTTTTTTTAAAGATTTTATTTATTTATTTGAGAGAAAGAGAGAATGAGAATAGAGAGCACGAGAGGGAAGAGGGTCAGAGGGAGAAGCAGACTCCCTGCTGAGCAGGGAGCCCGAAGCGGGACTCGATCCCGGGACTCCAGGATCACGACCTGAGCCAAAGGCAGTCGCTTAACCAACTGAGCCACCCAGGCGCCCTGGAATGGGATTTTCTTAAATTAATAATTACATGTCATGTAGTTTCTATTAGCAAAACTAGTAAGTAGAATTGTGTATGTCAAATAATACAACAAAATGTGAAAAAATAAATCATCTTATTCACTTAAAAATTTTTACTATAAATTCCATAAATTATTCTAGTACAAACACTAGGGTTTCAAGTAATAACACTCATTTTTTTACCCTACTAATCCCTCAGCACAATAGTATTTAGTTGTCAGTATCTGTCAATGTCCACCCAAGTGTAATTATATTTAACTATATGAAATCACTAAAATTTCATTCACACCCAAATTTCTTCACCCTCCAAAATGGAAATACCAATGTGATACATCAAATCAAAGTTTAATACAAAGATCAGAAGGAATTTCATCATAATAAATTATATTTGTTTAATGCTTTGTTTTACAAATAATTTTTTACACAGAACACATTTAATCTCTACAAAATAATGGGACAGGTGTTATTTCTTTGTTGTTGTTTTGTTGTTAGCCAAGTGGCTTTACTTAAGTTCAAAAAATCAGTTGAAAAAAAATTAGATGTGAAAACATGTTATGTGAAACAAGTGTATAATCCCTGTGCTTTCTAACATCACATGTTGTTATAACAATTTTAGGATTGCCCTTGATAGAGTTCTGACAGATATACATTAACTTTTAATGAAAAATAATATAATAAATTAAGGTAACTACAACAGATATTGCATTCTGTAGGAAGTTATACTTAGTTATCCACAGAACTGGGAATATTAATATTTCTCTTCCACTTAGAGAAAAAAGATTTAAAATAAAAATATTATTTTCCCCCAACTTTCTTGTAATTGTTTTGTACTGCAAATTGTAAAAAAATGAATAGATGATTATTTAACGTTAGCTACGATGTGAAAGACTCTTTCATAGAGGTGTTTAGGCTCTGAAAATAAAAAATAAGACTACCATTTTATACACACTAGTTCAGTAAACACTAAAAGCTATTAGCTATACCAAGCATTTGAGAGTATATAGTTCAAGAAGACTGATACTAACTGCTGGAAGAACTAATGTACTAGCCTTTACTAAAACAAAACAAAATCCATAATTTTTTAATACAGTCTTAACATACTTAAACCCACAAAACAATACTTCAAGGTATATTTTAAAAAAGAAACTTTGCATATGAACACTAACAAAATGTGCCAGAATAGTCATAAAAAGCAACATCTGTAATAGTGAAAACTAAGAAACAACCCAAATATGCATCTACAAGATAATGATTAAATAAAGAACCGTATATTTGTTCAATGAGATATTATACAGAGAAAATGAATGTGTTATACACAGAAAATAAACTGCATTTTCACAACACAGTACAAATTCATATTAGATACTTAAATGACAAGGTCTTTGAACACTACGTATAGTACGAGACTAGCATTATTTTAAAAAATTAGAAACATTAATTTACGCTTATGCACATATGAGATTAAAATATGTAGGATAAAAGAAGATGGTAAGCAAAACATTGATGATAGAGGGATGGAATGTGAGAGGAGCTGATTTGAGTGATTGGGTCATGTGAGCTAATTATACTATAATTCTTTATAAATCACAAATATTTTTTCATATGTGTCAAATATTATGTGTTACAAGTATAAAAAATTCTGAGAATATAGTAGTAGTAATTGGAAGTTAATTTTTTTTAGTAATTGGAAATTAATTTTTTTCTACAGTAAATTAAGGGAAACTGAAATTCTAGTTTTCCTTCTGGAGAGTAAGAAACCCTGTGATAAAAGACCTAAAACATAAAAGCAATATAAAAATCAAATCCTCAATGGAGAAGGTTCTGAAAAATAGGTTATATTATCTTCCTCTAATCCCCAAATATATTTATAAATTCTATTATCCACAATGCCTTCTGTGAATATGAGATTTTGGGAAAATAAGAGGCATGATGACAAATTGAAAATCAGAAAAAGGCTAATTACTAGCTTGGTGCTATATTCCATTCTTTTTCTTTCTTTGTATCACCAGCTTTTTTCAAAGAGCACTAGCATGTGGGTTAAAGAATATCTGACTGACAAACATACTTTGGAAATTATAGATTTTGTATTGCTCTTGTTACTGGGTCACTCGGTTCTTCTCCCAGATGTACCAAAGAATTGGGAGACCCAAGCTCAGAACGGGGAGATAGTTTATTGAGTAGATGAGTATAGTACACTTTCAAGAGAGAAAGTGGGCCATTGCCGGAGCAAGAGTGGGCAAGGGCACCTAGAAGCTCTAGCTACACCCTTTTAAGCCTGCTTTCAGCATGTGTAAATTTGGCTTTGATTGACATTTTTGATTGACCACTGGTGGTTAGATAACATTTTGGCTTCTGCGCATGCGCCTACCCATGATGCTTTCTGTTATAATTGTATTTATTTACAGTGTCTTTATGAGTGTCTGATAAGCTTTTGTTGTGACCTTAAAGGTACCCAAGGGCAAGTTGCACCTTTTGTGCACATGCTTAGCTCTTGTAAGTCCCCTTTCGGTTTTTGAGCCTGCTCTGTTGCTAGGCCTTTCCTGTTCTGTTGGCCCTTAGAGGTGGCTCTAAGGTGTAGCTGTTAACCTTTGCGGGTGGCTCCGAGGGTATGGCCAGCATCTGCTTTATCTCTCCTCGCTCATGCCTAAACTAACTGCCTAACACTCTGGTAAGATTTGAGAATTTATCTTTGCAGAGATTTCTGGGTAGTATAGGAAAGCTGTAGACATTGTCCTCTTTCCTGAACAAATCTGTTTACATTCTACAGTAAAGATGTCTCTCTCTTCACAGGGTAGGAGTATAAATGTGCTATCTGTCCCATATAAACTATTTTCATAATTCCAGGATTCCTCTCCTATAGTGTGCCAATACAGGTGACATCTGGCTCACATTATACTGCACGGTGGAGGCTTGAGATAGGGACAGCTAGCACTATGAAATTGTTATGGTTGCTGTTATTGCTCTAAGTAACAATAATAAAAAATCTGATCTCCGACCCAGAGATTCAGTGTTTATGTATACATATTTCTGTACATATACACATTCATCTGTCAATCTATTTTTGCTGATGTAAGAAATGAGTGTCTTAAAATACACCTATTACAATTCTGTGTGTCAGAAGTCTAACTAGGCTAAAATGAAAGTTTCCAACACATCTTAACTCTTTTCTGGAAACTCTATGTGGGAATCCCTTTTATTTGCACTTTCCAGCTTCTAGAAGACACTCATACTCTTGGATTTATGGTCTCCTTCCTCTATCTTCAAAGCAGGCAACATTACAATGTCTCTGACACTTCTTTAGATTGGGCCCACACTGATAATTAAGGAATATATGCCCATCTCAATGTCTTTAACTTAATTACATATACAAAGCCTTTTTGTGACATAAGGTAACACACCACAAGTTATGGGAATTATGATGTGGACATATTTGGTGGGTCCATTATTCTATTACCATCAAAGGTAGGTAGGTAGGTAGGTAAGGTAGTAAGTGAGGTAAAATCTTCACAGATTTGAGATTAATAAATGCCACTTTTAAATTATCCCAGACAAGAAAACAAAGGGAACATGTAACACTTGGAGGTGCAAGAAAGGTAAAATATTCTTGGTGACTGAAATATAGAAGCTGTACAACTCTGAATATATTGTACCACCCTTCCCACCACTGATGTTCCTATTTGCTGACCAGTGGAGACAAGAATGGTCATCCTGTTTATTTTCATCATCAATCATTAGAAAGTTCTCATAAAATAATGGGTGACTTCTACTATTTCTGGCTTTACCAAACACAGTAGTCTGCCACTTGGAGCACACTGGTATAGCGATTCTTTAAATCAGTGCCTTCTTCTACTGGAAAAGAAAAAGCAGAACAGGTAGATTTCTGTCATTCTCCCCCAAGCCTCACAAGGGTCAGCTACTAGATTTCCACTTTAATGGAGGTTTGGTCCTTGAAGTTATACAACTAACTTAAAAGAACATTGTAGCAGAGTAAGGAAAAATACTAGTGAGATGAAAATGTTTTCATATATTTATTAGAAAATAACTTTTTTCTTTTGCATTTTTTGTTCATACATTTCTTTTTCTAATTAAGTATATGTTCTCTATCTTCATCCAATATCATGTCACTGTAATTATGTATATGCTATCTTAGGCTAAGTTGGCCATTTGACACTTTGCAAAGATGAATACATCAAACTTTTTCTTAATGAACTTTGTTATAGAAGATTGGTTAAACACTTTCCTATCTGAATTTAACAATCAACCTTTTATATTTAAGAGTCTTTACTTCTTCTAAGCTTAGCTTCAACTTGCTAACTGTACTGTATATTACTACCATCATCACAGCAACAAAATTAAAAATAATCTTTATCTGATGTCCTGTTTTCAGCATTGATGTTATTCTTTTTTCAAAATCTAAGATATGACTATGTTATATAATGCCTCTGAGCTTTCTTAGAACCGTGAAAAAAGTATATGCCATGACTACCTTTCCACAGATTTATTCATTCTATGATTCTAGTACCATCTTCCATAATGCTACTGCTGTCTAGTCTAATTCCACAGGTTTTACTGCATCTTTTGTAATACCAATGCTCCCTACAATAGGATCATTGTACAGCCTCATCCATCTCTTTCAAAAACTCTGATTTTCTTGTTTACAGAATTATATCAAATACAACTGCTTTATAATCCCTCCTAGGTCAATTCCTTCTATTTTACTTCCATGTAGATCTTTACATGCCATTTCCAAATAGCATATATTAGAGTCATTTACTTATTTGATTAGATTATTATTCTAATAGGTCGGAAATTTAAAGAAGGCAGATTCTATATTTAATTTTGTTACCATTATATTTTCAACAGTGAGCTTGCAATAAACAATTTGTTAATTCATAATGCAATTATGGAAACGCTCCAAAATACGGTAGTACAGATGCTAAAAGTAGAAAATTATAAAATTAATAAGTAAATTTTGTT